TTTTTTTTTCTTCTCTTGAATCAAGCAATATGTAGCAAAATATAAAAACAGCAGCAATAACAACATACATTAAAAGAAAAGTTAATGAGAAAAGAATCTTGATTAGGGTGTATACTAAAACAAAAACAAATAGCTGTAAAATATTCTATAAATAATTACACGTTACTTACAATAGCAACTGTTTCAAAATCGAGTTTTTTAATACGAAAAGCATCTGCTATATGAGCTTCAACCATACACAAACTTGAACTTACTAGAAAATAAATATATAATAAATAAAATAATTTAAATTTCTTTTTACATTCTCCATAAAATCGACGACAATGTGTAAATCTAAAAATAATTCCATAATTCTGATTTTTATAAATTAAAATTGTCTCTTACTCAGTTTTGATTTTAAGAAAACCATCATTATTATGATCTCGTTTCATAATCATAAATAATTGTGTAATAAATTCACATGGATGATCAACCAAAACAAGCCAATCACCCTTGACATACAAAAAATATTTTTGTTTTTCGTATTAACCTTACACGTTTCTTACTCGATCGTCATGTGTTTCTTTTGTTTGAATACATATAAAACCATCTTTATATGGTGTACAAGTAACACCTATTATTGAATTATATAATAAAGCTTCTTTAGGATATGGATTTTTCTTTGTTATATTATATAGCCGTTGCGTTGTTATGCAAAGTATTCGAAGATGTTGTGTATATGATCGACGTCTAATTTTAAACATCTTGCTTACATACTTTACATAAATATAAACGATAAAAAAAAGAATTATATTATAAAAATTATCATACATACAACGGGTGTTTCCGTTTCAAAAAAACATCTCTCTTTTGCAATTTCATATACTGGTATTAGTTCTTCCGCTAGCAAAAGAATAGAAATGTATATAAATGAAATTTAGTATCTATTAACTAACATAATCGATTTAATTCCATGTTAAGATCACTTGGACTATATGCACTCTTTTTCCCTTCGAATAAACGCTTCATGAGTAATTGTGCTGCTGTTAATGGCTAGAATAAATAACAAATTATTAACTGATTTTATCAAACAAGTATTGTTTTCCTTTACTGCTTCTGGCTTGGGTAAACGTGGTATATCTTGGACAATGACATTTACTTCAATATTCGGTGTTATTGGTACTTCTTGAACATTTACATCAGTATTGGGCGTTGTTGGTGGTGGTTCTTGAACAATAACATTTGTATCAATATCGGGTGTTCTTGGTAATTCTTGAACAAGCATTGTATCAAATTCATTTAAAACTTCTTTAACTTCTTCATTTGATATTGAATTAAAGCTTTCGATTTCATCATTCTTAATTATTTTCGTTGAATTATTTGTTTCTTCTTTGTCGTTAGGAGTCGGTTCATAAAGATCTGTTTGTGATGATGCATGCGATAGACTTAAAGTTTTTTGAACATTCATTTGCGATTTAGGTGTTGGCGATAACATAAGATCATTCATAAGAAAATTTGAAAATGTATGTCCCATATTTCTTGATAAAGATTGTGTTTGTCGAATTGAAATTGGTGATTTAGAAAGTAATTTTTCTTTTGTTAATTTTCCAGTATTTATTAATTCATTATCAACTGATTTTTCTCGTTGTCTTGAAATAGGCGGTGTTGTTTTAGGATACATTGTCATAAATTGTTCATAATTTTTCACACGTTGAAGTATCATCTCATATTGTAATATAGTATCATCTAATGTATTACTTCGCATACAATCGCTGATATCCGATTTAGTACGTTTGATTCTTTGTGATATTTTTACACTATTTTCTTTATCATAAGCTAAATAATCAATAAAATCTTCAAATGGTTTTGTACTAAGTGTACTATCTATACTATCTCTATGAGACTGTTGTTTAACTAAATATTTTTTCATTAATAATGGTAAGATACTATCTGATGCTCGTCTTCGACGATTAAGTATAAAACCACTATGAAAAACATGACGAGTTACATGCCAAAGACGATTACCATTATGTTTAGAATTTTTCGAAGGAATATTTTTCTTTACATTTGTAGTCATTTTGTTTATAGACTGTTTAAGAGTTGAAACAGTTTGAACTTGATGTTTAAAAATGACTGAAGTTGTTTTTGGTGGGGTTGGTGTTGCTGCTGTAATTGGTAGAGAAATACGTTGATCAAGTGATGATAATTTTTTTACCGATTGAGACGAAAGTGTTTCTAAAAAATTTAATTTTTAAAGACTCGGTATTTTAATTAAATGTCTTACCTTCATTATTAGAACTAATTGATGATTTGTTTTGAATTGTTTCATGTGTAATTTTGAAAGTTGGTATACTGTTTTTCGAAGATAATTTTTGTTGTTTAGAACGTGGTTGAGATGATGTTTGTTGTTCTTGAGCTTTTATACTCCACATATTTCGAAGTGCTTTAACATTTCCATTTATAGTCCCATTGGATATCAAATCGGTTTCCATTGTTTTCTATTCAAAATTTGTCTTCTTTAGTAAAATACAGTTATGTTATTCCTTCTTTTTATGATCAAATAAATGAGCAAATGCGGTGGAAATTTGTGGAACATAGTCTTATATTTACTTAACTAAAAAAAACCTATGTTGATTATTAAAATGGGAAGGAAAGAAAACTAAAAGTATGACGTATTGTTATAGATAAATCAAGAGTTAAAGATGTGCGTGAGCTTTTAGTGTCGATAAAAGATAAAAATAGACGAATCATTTGTATTTATCGATGAGATATTATAGAAGATCAAAGAAAATATGTGTATTAAGCAGATTAATGATGATACTTATGAATATAAAAGAAGCATTAAAAATAGGAATATTCCTTCTTTATAGTTGAACTACGATAGAAATATACAGATGGTTTTTAAGTGCAGTGATAAGAATAATACTACATCGACATATGCAAAAATTATTTTATATTATTTGCTTAATAAATATGAAAATATAATCTTTGTTATTGATCTTTACTTATGTTCTCATAATATTAAAAACTCGGTTGCATTTAACAAAGATTGATTAGATATATACATGTGAACTTGCTATAAAATTATTAAAAAGAAAATACAACGAAATAAAGATTTTAGTATCTATCATATTATAGTGTAATATAGAACAATATTGAATACAAAATGACATGCACTACGTCATAAAGATTAATATTAATTTGAAAGATTTATGTGAATAATGCATGAATGAAAACTGTTGAAAGTGGTTTTTCTTCTCGTTTATAAGAAAAATCAAGTCGAATTAACAATAAAAAAATAACTATTATATTTTTCAATCGTTTTTGTTCAACTTCTGACAGCTATCGTTCTGATTAATCACAAATCAGATCAATATTGTCCAGGTAAAAGTTAACATTATGGCTTATATATTGTTTTTATACATAGTTATTCATGCGTATCCACTTATTTTTATCACGTTTTATTTTTTTTGTAGATTAGTTTAACAATAAATAATAATATAAAACTATTCGTTATCATTTGTTCTTGTTTTTTTCAAATATATTTATAAACATGTCGAAACTGCCGAACCAACAATTCCATTAGATATTCTAGTCGTCTTCGTTGTTATTTTAGTCGATAAATTATAAATGAATATGTCTGTAAAGCTATTATCACCAACAAATAGAAAAAAGTTTGATGAATAAGTTGTAAACGCAAAATTTGATGAATCAGAAGTATATTGTATCATATCTTGTGATGTTTTTGATAAGATCTCTCCATTTGTTCGATTTATTTCAGCAATAATATAAGGTGCACCTTCGAATAAACCAAATAATTTTCCATCATTTGTGCCTGTTAATTCTGCACGCGCACTAATAGTTTCATAATATCCAATAATAGAAATTTCAAGAGTATCAATATCAAGAGTTGCTAGACGAAATGGAGGATTTGAAGAATCACTACTAAGATAAAGTTTCTCATTATTATTTGATCCATCTGTAGCAAAATGCATTCCAAAAAGAATCAAACCTTCCTGCTCAGCAACATATGTTGTTGCTTGACATTGAGCATTTGTAACATCAAAAGTATATAAACTTCCATCAGTAAATAAAACCCAAGCTGTACCATTACGTTGAATAGCCATAGAATATGGATAGGCAGTAGTAGAACAGTTTATCATGGCAATAAATGTCACAGTAAATGTTTCTGGATGAAACTGAAACAAATTACTGTCTTGATCTAATAAATAAACATAGGTTGATGTTTCTGATGTACATTTTGATGCACTTGTTATTCGATCGTAAGGATCTAAATTAAATCAATATAAATAATATCAGAACTCATATTTAGAATTTTATCTACCTGTTGTAGAAAATCCACAAAATGCTAAGTTGACACTGCGTGTTTTATTGTCAGTAGATTTCATGTTAACAGTAATACGATTATTATTATTTCGAATAGTATTTTCACTTTTTTCAAGATGTCCTTGATGGCAAGTTGATGAATGACATGTCGATGATAACTGAACTTCATCATTGGTAGCAAATAAATCACCAGTTAGTCCTGTATTTTGTTCACAAATGATCGTACTAGAAAATTGAAAAACCATTTAGATAATCGTTATTTTTTAAAAACCAACCTATCTGATGTTTGTCTTTTACTTCTAGTCGATACTGCCTGAGGTAAAAATCGAAGTGATTTAATGCTCATCATCTTATTTGAACGTGCAATATTTTTCTCCATCTAAATAAATAGAATTTATACTAAATAAAATAATTAAATATGAGATAATAAACCTGCAAAGACAAATCATTTGTGTCAGATAATGTAAGTGATCGACCGTCAATCATATCCGAAGCATAGATAGTATAAAAAGAGATCTTATCTAAAAAGAAAAAGTAATTAAAAATTGTTCTACAAATATACAAGCAAAGATATACTTGATAATGCATTATGATTGATGTCTTTTGGTGTTACATAAACTGGAATTAATGAAAGAATGATTATTCCAGCAATTATTAAAAGTGTGGACAGAATACAGCATATTGCAAGTGGAACGGCCCATCCAGATCTAAACAAAACATGAATTCATCAGTTATACAATTTAGTTAATCATATTCAACATTTTAAAATCGGATGGGATTGAATAATCCTTGGAAACTAAATATACTATAGTGTCTGAATCGATTGTTTTTATTTGAAAGAGAACTCATCTTATCCATTCACTGATGTTCTTCTTATAAAACTGCTTCATTCTAGTTGACTTTGTTCATTAATAAAAAAAATAATTTACCTAGATAATATTTGATTGTATTGTTGCATTAACATAGTTTTATTTTAATCAATTTGATAAATATGATTATTTTTGTTTAATTATGAGAAGGTTTTTATAATCGAAAGAAAATATCTTTTTCTTATGTTTAAAGCATTAATAACAGCGAAATCATCGATAAAGAAGGTCGTTTAATGTTGATACTTTTTTCGTTCTCATATATAAATACTAATATAATTCACATTAGATAGACCTTAGCAGTAAAGTGTAAATGTTATGAGGCGGAACGAATATGAAACGATGTTTTTCTCCTACACTACGTCAACTATACTTTGGTGCAATGATTATTCATATGATTAATAGAAAGTTATTTGAAGATTTAATCATAAAAAGTGAAGTATATGATAGACAGTTGAAAAGCAAATAAAAATAATAATTAAATATCAATGTGATTAATATGATATTATATTGCGTGTTCATAATATTGATTTTACAGGTATAAAACATCAAATAAAGCTCTTCATATTTTAAAAAAATCAGAAAACAAACTTCAGTTAGTAAATTAAAAAGTAGAAATATTTCTTAAATTATTTATATTGAGTTTATTTGACGTCTGTTACCATGAAATAGTGAAGAAAATCAAGTGAGGTATAATGGTCAATTAGGAATTCCTGTTGCAAATGGATTTAGAAATGAATATTTTATAAACGTTAATATTTTCTTATTTTTAAGATCTTTTATGAGTATGAGTAAAAACTAAATAATTTTCTTTATTTTTCATTTTTATCTGTGAGATATTGCTGATAGTTCTGTTTTTCTCATTTTGTACTTTATCTCTTCTTCTATTGTACAATAATGCAAAGTATACACCGATTATAGTCACATATACAACTAATTCGAAAATAGAAGCGGATATTTTTAGACGATTACCAAACTCACGCCTGATAAAAAGAACTGTTTATTCTAATTGTTATAAGTATAACCTTTTTCAAGATAAAGATCAAACTTCGAACTATTATTTAAACACATCTTATTACATATGGTTTCAACGATTAAATTTTCGTTTGTACACAAATTGAAAGTCAATATCAATCGTTTCTCAAGAATTTTCATGCCGAAATCACCGTCTATGTTTTAGATCCTTTTTTCTTTCATCTTTCTTGATGAAAAGTAACGTTGTACGTATGTATACTTATCTTGGCAATGCATACTTTTCTTAAAGTTTATTTCCGCGTTTCCATGAATTCTAAGCTTATTATTAACGCTTTTTTTTTATCTATAATGAAAAAATGTTAGTTAAACATTGACGGGATTATATTTCATATCAAATGGCTTAATAATGTTTTCGTGTGGACAGGAAACGTCAGATTCACAGTACATATGTGTGTGTGTGTATGTAGTGTACCTAGATCACATTCAGATCTACACATTGTAACATGTAGTAAAATTTCCTTGTAACTAAAAGACCTAAGATTCTAAAAAAACTATCTTTTTGCAAAAAATTTCAGATTTGATTTCAAACTGACAAAAATCTCGAATGTAAGAAATACTAAGCGAATAAAACTCAACTGACTCTTTTATGAGAAAAATATATCCTTTCTTCTTCTCAATGTGTCATCTTTGAATTTGACAATGGCATAAAACGTTCAAACAGACTGAATGAACGAATAAATCGTCTAAAAAAGCTGATTTAACTTCGAATAGACCAATCATGTTGCTCACTTCGTTTTATTGTTTTCATTCTGTTTGACGTCAAAGTCATTAGATGCAAACAATGAATAAATATGTATGCATATAAAACTTTATCTTAGTCAAAAACATCATAGTCATAATAAAATATGAACCGATCAAATGCTCATCTTTTGGATTTACCTGATGAAATATTACTTATTATTTTCAAGTACTTGAACATTATGGATGTACTATATTCTTTCATGTATATTAATGATGGACGGCTTAACATTCTTGCACAAGAAAACATTTTCAGTAACATTCCGAAGTTTGTCTCTATTGATAATATTTCTGTAATCGATCGATTCTGCAATGACATATTACCAAGAATTCATCATAATGTGAAGTGTTTTGCTTTTGATTCAGTTTTTATGGAACGTATTCTTCTTGCCATTGACTATCCGAATTTAACTGAACTTACCATTTCTCATTTCCAACAAGAAATCGCTTCGAATTATTTTACAAGTAAGCATCTAATATGAATTTGATCAGTTCAGAAATAATAAAGATGTTAAAAAAAAAGAAAAGACTATAGTATGTTTCACTACATTGCTTTTCTCCTTTAGATGAATCATTACTTCGATCTATTTTCGAAGAACAAATTACAAATCTTATTCTTATCAATAATGATAAATACAAAATGGTACGTTTAGCGAAAATATATACTCAAAATGTATATGTTCACATCTTGACCTGTTTCAAAAATTTAAAAAAACTAAGTATTATGGAACCATCTGTTATGTCAGATCCAACTTTAGGACTTTGTTATCCACCTTTATCACTTTGTTGTTTGCCATCGACTAGTTTTTCATCTCCGATTCTTACTCATTTAAATATCAATGTCGAAACTTTTGATGATTGTCTTTATTTACTTGATGGTCGATTTAGAAAATTGACAACATTGTCTGTTAATGTCTATCATATGGATAGATTTTCAGAAACTGTTCACAATATGGTAAGTTTTTACAAATAATTTCATTTATGCCATTAAGATTTGTACTATTTCAATGCAGTTAACGATTGATCTCAAAAAATTCAGATAAGAGATCGAATGATTAAGTTTCATTTGATAAGGAGAAAAAAGTATTACATATTGAAGAATATATCAAAACCATCAACATCTAGTTTGCACTTAGTAGAAATTTGTTACTAAAAATTTAATTATATAATATTTTATTGAATAAGTTTCACATTATAAAGTAGACTACTCGGTTTCATGATATGATTAAATATTATCATATGTGAACGATCATCAGTATAGAATGGAGTGAAAGTTTTTCTATAATAACAAGTTTGCCAATGATTGAGATATGAGTGGAAGTCTGTCTGACACTTTTATTGTTCTTTAAACACTCGTTTGTTGTGTTGTAAAATAAGAAAATGAAACTAATAGATTTGTCATTTGTGATCATTCACAGATAGAATATAGATCATATATCATGTGTGAAATAGAGATATCTATGATTTAATCTTGAAGATTATCAAAAAAAACCTTTCTTTCTTTGTAGGATAAATTATTGAATCTAAAATGTTTCTCATTAAAATCGTCTTATTCATTTCATCAATATGATAAAATTATATTACATTTTCGTCGTATGTCAAATTTGGAAAAGTTAACTCTAAATATTTCTATAGACGATCGAAATAGAGTCATTGGTGGTACTTATGTTCAACGTGCTATTTTGAATTATATGCCACAACTTCGTTCATTCACGTTCTATATTTGTACTTATGTTGGTCCAATTGCTACTTTACCCTACAAGTTATCTAGTGAAGATATTCAACTAACATTAACAAATAGTGGACAACAACATGTCACTAGTATGATCAATTATATTACTAGTAGTGTCAATTTTGTTTTTGGCATCAGAGCTGTATGTTCAATTTTCTCACTTCCTTTTAAATTTGATTATCTTCGAGATCTTGGCAATACATTTCCAAATATTGTATTCAGTTATGTTACCTATTTACTTATACAAGATATTACTCCATTCGAACATGAATTCTTCATGCGAATCGCCCGATCGTTTCCGTTACTGAAGCATTTATGTATTCGGAATAGAGAATCACAAAAATTGGATGGTCTTATGTCATTTTCATCTGACAAATATCAATTACACTCAATTATTGAATATCCCCATCTGACTATACTTGATGTCAGATTTGGACATGCAGATTATGTTGAACAGTTTCTAAATGAAACAAAAACATGTGTACCTTGTCTGACAGAATTTGAAGTCTGTGTTGATCACTTAAAAGCTATAACAAAAGATTTTACAAGGGAAAAAACACGACGCAATTGTTCTAAGGTGAAAAAAATACATACGACAGGGGGTATGGTACATTGGGAAGATTTATGTCTTTATTTTCCTTCATTGTATAAGTAGATGTATTTTTGTTTTGTTTTATTCAATAAACTGAAAAATATTTGGATGTTTTGATATTTCATTTACTTATTATAATGTATATAAATATTTTGAAAATTTATTTTAATAATTACAGAATAGATAAACAATGATATGATCTGAATTATGGAAAGTAAAAAATCGGACGGGCAACAAAATCAAAAAAGTACATTCCCATTAAATATAATAATTCTTTGCAATAATTACGATGACGACGGTTGTAATAAATCAAGCTTTACATACCAACGTAATATAGAAAAGACAATAAATGAAATCGAAAGTAATAGAATACCAATAACAAGTGTAACTATTTCATGCGTCCTTGTTGGAATAATAAACAATCGTAAAGTAAAAGTTGTCCATCGACTTTCAGTCCATGCTGGATAGGTTGTTTGTGATAGATCATAATTATCAATACTAAACGCTGGTGAAGATGACGATGCATATCGTAAATATGATCGAACACAGTATCCAGAATAATTTTGTTCAGGCATTATTGATGGTGCATATCCACCAACATATCTATATAATCGTAGAGTATCATTATTTTTCTGTTCTAAACATTTTGTTTCAGTTATATTTTGTTTATCATATTCTCGATCACGTAAAAAATAACTAAGTATATTTTGTACAAAAGGAAATGTTGGTGTTGTTGCTGTTGGATAAGTATTTATTGAAAAAGGTAATGATGTTTGTTCGAATGCATCAAATGAATTTCCAATTGATTGATTTGAAACATTATGAATAAGAGGACAATTTACATTTTTTAGAACACAATAAACAAGATTATTTATAATTTCTTGTTCAATAGTAACATTTGTTATATTGTTACCAACATATGAATCAAGTAATGTTTGAGCTAATGGTTCAACGATACTTTTAATCCATTGACTGAATTCAGTAGTTGTATTATATTCTAATGATGATATATTAATTGATAATGTTGAAGGATCATCAAAAAAATGAATGATAATAATGATTTAATAATTGATTTTCATTTGTTGATGTTAGAATATAGGTTGGAAAAGATAATGATGATGTTTCACGCTGAAAAATTTGTGAAGATGCTGGTGGTAGAGGAGAATTAGCATTCATTCGAGTAATCATTGGATTATTTTCAAGTAATGTTGCGATAAATGTTTCATTTATTATCGATGGTGATGATGGATATGCATAAAGCTAGAATTCAAAACAACAACAACAGTGAATTAATGATTCAAAGTTTAAAATAATTTACTTACAGAAAGATTATTAGAAAAACTTAATGATTGAAATTCAATAATAGAATGAATATGTTCTATTTTAATACGTTGCTCATTTTTATCACCAGCTGGAAAATAATCATTATTCATATCAAATAGAAATCGAAATGAAGCTGAATAATCTAATGCATCACCATCAAGTGTAACAAATATAATTTCTTTATCTTGTTTATTAAATTCTTTTTGTTCTTGTCCAATAACATGAGCAAGTGCAAGAAATGTTATGAGTGCTGTTGCTGGTTGTTGTGCACCACCTGTTGTACCTTGTGCTTTCAAAAACATTTGAAAACTATCTGTTGTTGCTAAAATAAGAACAACTGATTTTGGTTGTCGTTGTTTTGGTACAAGAGTTAATGAATCAGGTAATTTACTATAGATATTTAAACCACCAACAGGATCACAAAATCCATCGACAGCATCAAGTAATGAATGTGATATTTCATTTCTACGCATACATGTTTTCGATGTATGTGCAGCACTTTGAAATGCTTTTACTTCTAGACCACATGTTGGTGATGATTGAGTATTATAAAATTGACGATAAAATTTATCTAAGCGTTCATAATCATCTTTTTCATCGAGTAATACAATTGGAAATGGAAATGAACGAAAAAATAAACCAGTTCCTTTCGGATTCCAATGAACTGTTTCAGTTTGATTTAAATAATAAGATTGACGATGATTTGGACATTGATCATCATGTGAAAAATCTTTAGGTCGAGATAGATTTGATTTTAAATAAATTACAAGACCATTTAATTTTGAATCAAGACGATTCATTAATTTATCAACATATTCGGAATTAAATAACTCGATATTAAGCGCAATAATAAATGAATTGGATGAATCAATTGTTTTACTATCTTTAAGATACGAATTAAATTCATTCTCATTATCAATCATATACATTCGACCGGAGTTGCCTCTCATAGATGACTGACAACCGATTTCATGTGTACCATTAAGATGACGAACACAATAACGTGCACGATCAAATGATACATACATTTGATCAGCTACACGTGTGGATTGAGTAAATACAATAAGGAATGTTAGAAAAAAAACAGAAATGCAAAACAATGAAGAATGCATAGTGATCTAAAAAGAAATGAAAAAAAGAAATACTTCATCAAACTATGCTAAGAATTACTATAAACACGTAAGTTATTCATGTTAGCATATATGCTTTCATGGTAAATAAGAGTAAATTTTAGTTGATTATGTTGAGATCACATTTTTCCTCATAAATTCTGTAGTAATGTAAAACAGTCCCCAAATATTCCGAAAAAATAAAATAAAGAACAGATTTCATTATTCATTGTTAGTTCTCGTTCAGAAATGTTCAAATCTTGCTAAAAGCATTAAAAAAACAAAAAATAATTTAAGTAAAAAACTATTATATTTTGACTCATGCACACGAAAAATTCAGATTACCTTATATTCATACTGATTGCACTCACGAATATGTATGGCTTTCGGATATGAGCCAATAAAATAACTGCTAATGTACATAAATACACTTCAGGATATGAAATTATTATTTTGAAACTATATCCTTTTCTTAGTTCTCTTTGTATACAGTGAGCACCCGCGCTCAGACACAGTTATACTTGTTCCTTTTAAGAATGAACGAAGCTAAATATAAGCTTTTTCTAAAACAGATGTCACCGTTAGTCACTATAATACGTATAGTTTTTTCGAGTGAAAGTTATAATTTACCCTTTCTTGGATTATTAAACATTCGATCAATTAATTACAACAATAGAATCTCACTAGATCGACTGAAGAACTGAAAGAGTCTCATTAAAAACTGATAGAATGAAATTATGTCGAAATAATTCATGTTGAATTAATCACATGGAAACTAATTAAATGATCGGCTTTAGTGTTGGACTGACTGACTTACAGACATATCGAGCGAGCTAAAGAAACAAATTTGAGATAATTAAGTATAAAGTTTAACAGAATTTAACGCTTTTTTTATTCTTATACTCAGTTTTTTTTGTAGATATGAGATACAATTTTCTGTTTTAAAGCTGATTAAATCTACAATAAATAAACTTAATCGAGATATATTCGATGATGTTGTAGGATGTCTAGAAAACCATCTCTATACCATGATAGATGATGAGTAACACGATGTTAATGTAATGCTAACAAATAAACATACACACCTCTCATATTCTTCATTCATTTTTGTTTGTCTCATAACAAGAAATCATTAAAGTAAACATGATTTACTCTTTTTGTATTCTGATACCTGGTAAATAGCTCAATCAAGTTTTGATGCTTTTCGATTCACGATACATCAAAACAATACATATAGTATATATTTAAGTATAAATACTATGCCTTTGTACACAACTGTGTTAACTGTATTTTATGATTGTGTATTTATCAACAAGTGCACAATATATATATTGACAGTAATTAAAATAGTTTCTATCGTAAATATAAATAGTGCATATCGATATTTCGTAACAACAATGTTGAATGACATAATCTACATGCCATTGAAAAAATATCATATGTAATAATCATTCTAAGATAAATCAATTACAAAATATTCGTTGAAATTCACACAGTGACTGTATTATATTATTTTCTCTCTTACGAATTTGCTATGTATGTGTTGTACTAAGAAATATTTTAAGTACCTATTCTTAGGCAAAATAACAATATGAACTACTTGTGTTCTCCATGTATGTTCATTTACGACAAGCAGAATAAAGTAAAACATAAAATAGATGGCGTATTATATAGACACGTAGAAAACGTGATAAAGAGGTGTTACTTTAACAATGCAAACTGTCATGGTAGATAGAATAGCTCGAATTTATTTCTTATATATGACTATCTATTTAGCAATGTCTATTAGACATTTAATTTGAGATTTTAAACTAAATGATTATTATATTTATTTTTCTAAGATTGTCGAATATATCTTTCAATAATGTATAACACATATTGATAGTTAAACTTTGAAAAAATATATAATGTTTATATTTTATCTAAGTTATATATATAGTAGTAAAATATCTTATAATAAGTTACTTTATTTTAGAAACATGTTTCTTACTGTATCTGATCAATCAAGTACGGCTCTTCATATTCTTTTACATGCAAATCTACCTTATACAATCTTTTGGTTTATTATGGAAATTCTTCTTTTTACTTTTAAAAATTTCCATTTAACATATGCTTCTAATGCATTCGGTATTGAAATTTCTTTGGTATTTATGGTTTGTTTCAATGATTTATTTCGTCAATTTTTTTTGTATTAAAGGCAATTTAATGTTAAATAATGCCCTTCTAATTATTTCTATTTTCTATGGATTATGTTGTGCAATTGGTTTTGTTTTCTTTCTTATATTGCAATCATACGCTCAACGTCTAGAAATGCTTCTTGCAGGAATCAGTTTAACATTAATCTTAATTGAAATTTTACTCAGTATTATCACACTTATTCGTAATAGTCGAGCAATGCCTGTATTAACCAAAGATCAAAAGATTGCACGATTAAATCTAGCACAAAAACGATTTCAAACATCAGTTAAAACTGAATAGTATTATATAGTCATATTAAATAATTTTGTTTATGTGTAATATCTGCAATATACTGGATTGTGTGTTTATATTTTCAATGTAAGAAATTTCAGATTTCAATAAATACATCTTATTAATTCGTGAGATCAACAGTTAAACGATTGTTTTGTAAACAATAAATGAAAATGTTTATTTTGATTCGGATCAATTTCATTTACTAATATGTATATGTTAAAAATTTCAGAGATTAAAGTTTAAATTATAACTATTTAATTGTCTTCTAAAGATAATATTTAGATTATTCTATTAATACATCAGTTTTTAAATGAACGTTCTATTTTACCTGATTTATTTTCACACGTAATATTTTGATACTGAGGTTTCCTTATATTTATTATTCCGACTTCGAATTCTTGATTTGAAATGATCTCGTTATTTATTATAACACACTTTTTGTTAAAGTTTATTTATTAATCATAATCATATAGCAGAATGACATCTTAAAGTAACACTTTAGAACATTTCTATACTTAAACTCGAGGAACAATAAATGTGCCTTGTTTTAATTGCGAAAAAATACAATTAAACATACTGTTAGAATCATACTATGCAGTTAGTTAAAAAAAAGAATATAACTAAATGCGATAGTGCTTTTAAACACATACAAAAACACGTTGGAAAAAGGGTTTTCATACTTACTAAGCCTTTGTTTCTTTCAAAAAATTCTTGATGATTCAGTCACTCAGCTACAAAATCTTTCTGAATTCAGCACCAATGTAATGTAATATTTTATTTATCTAACTAATTGAAACTACACATTTTACGGTTCAGCATTATTCAAAAAAAAAAACATTTCCATCTAAGTATTATCGGACAGAATATTTTGCTTCAGCATCACAGGTAAGAATTGCTTGGGATTTTATTATGATCACTTTGGTACCTTGTCTCATTTTACGGCACCCACAAGGCTCTTTCAAAGTTTTGTCACCATCCTAGGAAATCTTGTCTAGAACAGTCTCACTGAACATAGCCTTTTTCAGTTTTACTACTGTTATACAGAACCAGAGCTTGGTCTTGCACGTTCTGCAGAGTCACGCACTACTTCTGTCAAGGCTCCTTTTTTTGGGGCATCATACCTACATTTTTTGAGATATGCTAAGCAAAACCTTTCATCAGAATACACATTCGGTCATAAAACTAGCAGTTTTATTTACTGTTTTTGCGTAAACTACAACACAAGAAAAAAATTCGTGTCATGATCACCAGATGTGTGTTTGTTATCGACAAACATTTACTATTAGCATTCACCGTTTTCTTCCACTTTTATTCCATGCAACAAGCTGATCAATTTCGTGTATAACATCGTCTCCAATTTCATTCTCCCAAAGATCTAGTGTAGTGAGTGTCTAGATAAAAATATTGAAACAAAGACATAGTAAATATAAAGAGAGAATGACAATTACTGTGTTCTGTCGTAATCCCGTAGCCAAATGTTGTGCTCCAACCTCTCGGATTCTACTTCCAGCAAGATTTAGTGTGATGAGCGTCTAGACAAAACAATGAAGGTAAAAGCGTGATATAGATAAAGACAGAATGGTAATTACTGTGTTTTGTTGTAATGCATCAGCTAAATATTGCGCTCCAACATCTCCAATTCCATTATTTTGGAAATATAGCGTAGTTAGTGTCTAGATAAAAAAAATGCAGGTTGATAGATGGTATAGATAAAGAGACATTGACAATTACCGTGTTGTGTCGTAAACCTGCAGCCAAATGTTGTGCTCCTACCTCTCTGATTCCATTTCCACTGAGGTTTAGTGTGGTAAGTGTCTAGATAAAAACGTGAAAATAAAAATATGATACAGATGAAGAGAGAATGAGAATAACTGTATTGTGTTGTAATGCATCACCCAAATATTGTGCTCCGACTCCGTCGATTCCATTTCTAGCAAGATTAAGTGTGGTGAGTGTCTAAATGAAAACATGAAAATAAAGACATGATACAGGTGAAGAAAAAGTGAGAATTACTGCGTTGTGTCGTAATCCCGCAGCAAAATATTGTAATCCAACGTCTCCGATTCTATTTCGAATGAGACTTAGTACGGTGAGTGTCTAGATAAAAAGTGGAAGTAAACACACGTTATAGATGAAGAAAGAATGAGAACTACTGTGTTGTGTTGTAATGCATCACCCAAATGTTGTGCTCCAATCTTTGCAATTTCGTTATGTCCGACATCTAATGTGGTAAGTGTCTACATGAAAAATGCAGGGAAAATACGAGACAGATGGGAAGAACATGATAACTACTGAGTTGTGTCGTAATGCATCAGCTAAATGTTGCGCTCCAAGCGCTCCGATTCCATTTGAACTGAGATTCAGTGTGGTGAGTGTCTAAGTGAATAAGTGAAAAAGTAGACATGATACAGATGAAGAGAGAATAAAGGTTACTGTGTTTTGCTGCAATGCATCACTCAAAAGTTCTGTTCCAGTCTCTCCGATTTCATTATGTCCGACATCTAATGTGGTGAGAGTCTAGATAAAAAATGTAGCGAAAAATACGATATAGATGAAGTGAGAATAACAATTACTGTGTTGTGTCGTAATGCATCGGCCAAATATTGTGCTCCAGTCTCTCCAATTGCATTTCCACTAAGATTCAGTGTGGTGAGTGTCTAGGTGAAAACGTGGAAATAAAGACACGATACAGATGGGAACAGTATGACGATTACTGTGTTGTATTGTAAAGCATCAGCCAAATGTTCTACTCCATCATCGCCGATTGAATTATATGCGAGACATAGTGTGATGAGTGTCTAGATGAAAAAGTGAAAATAAAGACAAGATACAGACGAAAAGATAATAACAATTACTGTATTGTTTCGTAATGAATCAGCTAGATGTTGTGCGCCAAGGTCTCCAATTCCTTTTCCACTGATATTCAGTATGGTGAATGTCTAGATAGAAAGCATAGATATTTCTCAAGGAAATATCTCGGACGTTACTTATAACTAGATAAACTAGTTTATAGACTGTTACTCTCTTTCGAAATCTGGTTGTTCATATCAAAACGGTAGATAAAAAAGTGTTTAGATACAGGTAAAAAAGCAAATAACAATGTGTTGTCCCTTTATTTTTGTTCTTATCTAAACATTGAATGTTTATGAAATTAAACCTGGTTTGACACGTGTAATATTTAGCTAAGATTGAAAAGAAAATAGGAATTATATTCATATTGTTATAATTGAAAAAATGAATTTTTGGGGGGAGAGATTGATAACTGATGAATTATTTTGAGTGATAAATAGTTTATTCACATTTATTTTATTGAAATCATTCTACTTGAATAGAGATTGTAGGAATGAAAAATTATTCAAGAGCCAGTAGAGAAAAGTTTACCTGATATGGATAATAACTGTCTATAATGCTGTTGAATCGTTGGCATACGTTTCTCATTGAGCAGAGAATTGTGTAAGGCGTCTGGTGATCTAGAATTCGGTAGACAAGTTCTACTGGTAACATGAGGAAGCTGGTGATAGTTTGATTTGCCATTATAGACTGCTGATGAAATACGTGTTGTGTCGCTTTATTTTTTGATTGTATAATGTGTTTTTTCTCTTCCAATTTAATAAATACATATTCGTCATGCGTTATATTACTTTACGTGATGTTGTAATTACTTGTAGGAAGAAAAGAATGAAAAAATAAAGATGTCACTTTCAATGGGAGAATTGATTTATAGAAACTATATTTAATGTTTTGTTATGATTATTTTAGTAATATAAAATGATATATAATAGGTATGACTATTGCATTTCTGGTTATAATTAACAAAGTATGGATGACTCTTCTTTCATTGATGTTTAAAATGTATATTGTCACTCAATCATAAAATCGAATGGAGATATTTTTCTCAAGAAACAGAATCAAATAATATTCAGAAGACTATATTGATTGTACTATGCATGCAAAGCAAAATTCAATAGATCGATGTTTTTAGACACAGTCTATGTGATCATTTCTTTGTTTTAGAATATGAATGAAAATAAATACGATGCTCCTCTCAGATATCAAAACATGACTATAGTAGTGATTAATTAATCATATTTATTTATTATTGATAATAGGTAAGTTTTAGATTTGTTGATGAATCGGAAATACATGATGTTACAACATAAAACAAATAGGTGTATGTCTTGATAACCTACAATCTCAATCAGTATTTAGGCAATTGTTGTGCCTGGATGAATACGTGGTTGCTCATCTAGACGTCTTTTGATACGTTGAAACCATTGCTGAATTTCTTTCCGCATATTAGGTAATGAACCAATAATAACAAATGGTAAAAGTTGATTAATAAAATAATAAAGATAAGCGAAGTAATTGTATTGTATATCAAAAGCAAAAGTTGGTGACCATAATGCTTCAATAACACCAATGACAATTGATGGAGATTGTAAAATAATAAATGTTGTAGAAATAAAAAGCAACTGAATGATCATTCGTCTTTGGCGATGCCAATCTATTGGTCTTAGTTGTCGCAGTTTTTGATAGATAACTCGATAAAAAAGCAGCAGATTAGCAAATAATATAATCAAAAGTGATAATGCATAATGAAACAGCCAATCAAAAGTAGGTAAGAATGGGTCGGAATAATTATAACATGCTCCTCCGCAGAATACTACTGAATAATCCCATATATTCGTACATTGTCTTGGAAAAAAGATTACAACTGCATAAAATATTGGAAGATAGATACAGTAGACAAACAAAGGTATGTAATGAAATAAGATCGAACACCATTTCTTCTTCATCAACTGACTATGAAAAATAAATAAATGCCTTTCAATACAAAACCAAGCTGCTAGTTGTATAGCACAGCCAGTTAATGTACAATCTAACCAATTCCAAGCGGCACAGAATGTATACGTTTGTTGAAAATTTTCACCCCAACGAAGATAGAATAGAAGAAGGGGAGCATCAGTGGTTTTTTGTAAAAAACTAATGATAAGCATGCAGATAAT